CATAGCTTCATTGTGTGGCTCATCAACTTTATACCTCTGTAGTTGCTACAACTCTGCGCATCACCCTTGTTCTTAAAGATCGGCACTAGTACACTTCTCCTCCATTCCTCAGGCATCTTCTCACTCTCTAAAATCCTGTTGAACAAACTAGATAGAAACTCCACTGCTGTCTCTCCTAGACACTTCCACACCTCTACAGGTATGTCATCTGCCGTGCACACACTGACAAAGTAAAAATCACATGCAATTACAAACACAACTTTCATCTAGACACCCTTTTATTAGCAGATGGAAATCACCTTAAGGCATTTTACAAATGATGAACACATTCATTAGCACTTTTATTCTGTGTCTGTGGATCTGTTCATGTTTGGTTGCTTAAATGGCTCTGCCCAATCCTTGACACAACTTCATGTCCAGTGTTGACCATGTCCATCCAGTGCTGCAGCTGAGGGCCTCTGGCATACATGAAGGGCCCTAACACCAGCACTCCCAGTAGGACTGGAGGCTCTGGGAGAAAGATATATGAATATCACTGTGTCCGTGTTTCAGATCTTATCAGCAGCGAGATTAGGAGGGTGCCCTGCTCCTCCCCTCCAGCGGTACCCCTGCCCCCTTTGAAGGCCAGGTTAATTTTATTTTCTATATAGCACCAGATCAAAACACGGAAAAAGGCATGATGAAGAAAGCAGTGAAAGGTGAGGTGAAAGTTAATTAGGAGGTGAAAGTTGACTCAGGTTAAGCCCACCTTGTAGGTCCTCCTCCTAGTCAGTGAAATGGTAATGCACAATTCAAAGCAAACATTCAGGTAAACCTCTATTGACAATTAGAAATGACATTTCTGTCTTTATAATGAAGGTATGCAAGTGCCCCTCCGGTAGTGTTTTGTGCAACTCACCGTGATCTTTAAACTGAGTGAGGAAGAGGAGCCCAACTGGTTACTTTCACTATCAGAGATGCGAGGCGAGGCAAAGATGATGTACGGCTTGAACTCAGCGATCCGTAAAGTCTTAAGTGCCTGTATATGGGGTGGAGCACATACAGTATATAGTCCTTTAAAAAAGCTTTCTGCTCAGTATCTACTGTACAGTCTGTCTGTCTGCGCTACACATCAGGTCCAGTTCAGAATTTATAGTATATACACAATATTCACACCTCTTTGCTGTTTGCACATTTGAATGGTCATTTTTGCCATTGCAAAATACAGTAAAATATACAAAAAGTGGAGTGTGAATAAACAAATATGCATGTGGAATTTATAACAGCTGAAGGCTTGACACTTAGACAACTGTATGAATTAATGTTGAACAGTAAAGTAATTCTTAAATGTTTTGGAATATAATTTAACTGAGAAGCTACTGATCAATTTTGATCAAAAAGGTAATTAATTTAACTGTTACATCAACAGCTTAACTGATGTACCTGAACAACCAGCTGGAACACCTGATATTTATTAGCTGCTGTTGCTTTGGCATTCCTACCTGCTCCTGAAGATGGTTTTTAAGAAAAACAAAGCCTGGGGAAAGTGCCACAGTGCCTCTTTCTTTTTTTGGGAGTAACGTTACTCTTGTGTGTCAAAAGGACATATATAGACATATGATAATGGTTCAAATTTTAGACAACTGTAATGAATCATTTGCTGAAATGTATTAACCAACTGCTATTTGTAAGAAATAAGATTGCTGTTTTGTTGTATAGAAGAAACTAAATGTTGTGGAGAATATCAATATTGTTTAGAAAACTTTGATATTTTAAAATTGAGCCAAAGCTAAAGCCAGTACGACTAGATATAAAGTCTGTGGGACATTTGAAAGAACAATTCATTTCACTAAAATTTCTTAGTCACGATTTAATTATACCAATTGTAATATAACTGTTAAGTAGTGATGTTTGGGATGTACAGCTTCTGTGCTTGTTAAAATCATTTTGGCTGTGCTCTGTCTCAGAGTTGCAATAATTTTAGGATGATAAGGTTTAGCTGAACATCTAGACAGAAAACATTTAACACTTCAAACTCAACATGGTATTTTTCCGAAGCACTGTGCCGGAGCTTGCTTCCAATCAGAAAAACAAATCATGTGACCGATGACGCTGGAACCACTTTCCTGCTTCATTCAGGCTGAATCAGCCGACCGGTTTAGTTCAATAGGTGGAGTTTTGAAACATTGGTGTGATACAAATGTATTTTGGATTGCCTCGCTATGGAGCCATCAAGGAAATGATCATAAGTGTGGGAACATTGTCTCAAAAAAGAGAAATCGACTAAAATCATCTACTGTGGAGTCACTAGCACACCCAGTGTACACCAAGCACAATCAAAAACATATAATAACATTATTTACATCCATAGCCTCATTGAATCCTGTAAATATTTGCTTGTCCAGTGTGTAATTTGGGATCAATAATTATAAATCCATTTCAAATTCTTAGGAATTCTTGGGGAAAAAGATTACTTAGGTAGTCGACATTTCATTCAAAACACTTCATAAGGCAAAGAAAAAAAAAACAGACAAGTAAAATGAAGTTAGATTTCATCTTTATTTAAGTAATTTCCACAATACAACAAAACTCACAGTGCACACGCAAGATGCGTTAGCGTCACCTTTGGAAGGCTGTACAACAACCAGTGTGATTGAAACTTTTCTCACATTGAAATAAAAAAAATAAAATAAAATACTTAAAACTACTTACAAGAAATTATTGACAAACAATAACAAATAAATGCCAACCAGGGCTTCACATTAAAAGAACATCCAAACACATCTGTCTCAGGTTCATCACATTAAGAACTTCCGAAATGAGGTCTACACGTTAGAAAGACATGATGAAGCAGATGGAGCACAGATTTACAACTGAACAGAAAATGTCCCTTCCTGTTTAAACTTAGTGTGGATCTCGTATAGCTGGGTCAACTGGTTGCACTTCTATCCTCCAGTTTCTAAAATAGGATCTTTTTGTTTAGCATGATGACATTTCTCCATGACTCTATACTACTTACAAAACCTGAATAGATACAGGACTACAGTGACAACTCTATCAGCATAATTACTAGTGATATCGGCGGGATCACAATCTAATCTACCTTTATTATCAGCAGCCTTAGAATCATCCTGGTGCTTTACAACATCTTAGTGCGTGAATTATGTCAACTCTGATAAATTCAAAGAACAAGCTAAGGTCAAGAATAAGGACTTAATATGTCAGTTATTTCTGGAACTCAAAACCTAAACAGCTGTACTGACAGAATTTCACTGTAGCAAACTAGAGCAAATGGACTGTCTCTTTGTGGAGTATGACCACATTTGCCAAAATGCAAATAAAACTCCAATATTTTAAATAGAATTAGTACCAGTACTAGTTAGTACTATATACCTGTACTCCTGGAACTTCAGTCAGCCAAAATGTTTCATGGTAGAGTGTGAGTTAAACATTGTCAAATTTACTTCTTGACAACTCCAGAATTGTTTTAGGAGTGGGTCCAGAGTTGTCTTTATACCATATATCATGACAAAAACTTAGCTTTATCACAGTGCAGTGCAGCTGTGCACTATTAACTATTAGGTAATTGATCATGGATCATAGCTACAGGTGTTCTGATCTTAGCAAGCTCTGTCTTAATATATGAAATGCCAAATAAAACAAAAATATGTCGGGACACAAGTCTCCACCTCACCCAACGCACTTGCCCTCAATCAGGCTGAGCAGCGAAGCACACCCAGCAATTAGACTCTCCCAGATGTCAACTCATCGCTCCCCTGGTTCCTGGTCTCCCTCCACAGCAGTCCCGATTATCATCTCCTCCCTCCTGTCCAACACTCACCTTGACCTGAGCCTTCCCCACTGAAGATCACCAGCTTGGACCTGGCTCTCGCCCTTGGGTCCTTTTATTTTAGTCTGAGCCTGGTGACACTGGTCACCATAAAGTGATATTCTAAACTTTATACATTTTTTAAAAATATGGAAATGTTACACATCAACATGGAAAAAAAAGGAAGTTGACCCAAATTAATCAAGTTGTACTACATTTGAAAACAAACTAGTAATAAGCAGTAAGGACAAAGAAAAGCCTTAAATCTACAATCAGCATTTGTGATCATTAAAGACACTGCATTCAAAACCAGGGACAGTAAATCTCGGCCAATAGTCTAAAATTCAATAACTTTGTTTGTGGAAAGTGCCTAAACCACAGACACTTTACAATCAGAACATGTACAGTATCTTGTGCTTTCCTCAAAACTAAATTAACAACTGGGCTGGACTTGGAAACAATAAATATGATGATCACAATAAAACAAAAATAATTCTGACCATCTCATAACAATCAAGTGTCTCTGGTTATTTAGACAGCAATACAAATACTGAAGACAACAGCAAAAAGAAAATGTGCAAAATGCCGTCTGAAGACGATCAGGCTGTTTCTCTAAAGAAAGTTAGTGCTTTTTTTTCCTCAAATGAAGATTGAAATGGCAGGAAATACTTTGACTAGTTCACTTACAGCTATTTTTGCTCAACAGGTCCTCACAGCTGTTGAGTACTGAAATACAGCTGTAATTGGTCAGATTTGTCGGTTTCTTGTTCTGTGATCCCATGGTTTTGGATTTTAGCTTCATTTTAGACTGTATTGTATTTAGGTAAAGGATCTTCTTCTTTACTATCACTGTCCTTGTTACAGGTAGCATTCCTTCATTTTTTTCTCCATTGAATTGACAATAATTTGTGGAAAATGACAGCACTAAAATGCTTATTGAAAATAGTCAGCCAAAGAGCAGCCTCACCTGCCTACCCAAATTTAAAGGCAGTGTTGCAACAATTTAAGGCAACACTGGGAAACTTTACCAGCATCTCTGTACAACTAAGAAGCTGTTCCACAGTTGCCAATGCACAAGTTAAAATGCTGCTGTGTATTGTCAACTTAAGGGTAGAGACTGTAAAGTTCAAGGAAAAAAACTGTTTCATTAGAGAATATCTGAATATGTCTCACTTGGTTGCTTCCTTCTGTGAGTGCAGCCCCCTAACAGTACTGTGAAACTGGAACAGTAAGAAAAGAGCAAGGCAGCTTGTCAGCCTCCATCACAGCGCTGCAGCCAAAACATCCCATGCATGAAGAGAGAAGGATAC